TGAAATTGACTTTAAAAAAACAAAAGTGTACATTGTTCATATCTAAAGTCTTAGAGATCAATACCAGAGTAAGGTCAAACACTTCAGTTTTACAGATTGGAAGCCATGGCACTGACTGATTAAGGATTTTTTTAATGACCAGCCAGATTGCCTGTAGTCCTGTTAGATTTGTTTTGAGACCTCATCTACTGATGCCCAGGGCAAGGACTATGAAAACCCCACATTTCTTTCTCGTCACTGGCATAAAACTTGAGTGGCTTTTTGAAAAGTGCAGTGCACATAGATTACAGGTGACCAGCACAGAGCTGGGGCAAGGAACAGCTTCTGAATTGCTTGTGTGGAGGCTTTGAGATTTCTTGACAAACCAAATACTAGGCATTGCATGTGCTTTATTGCAGAGAAGTATTATAGAACACCCCTCTGAAATATATACCTTGAATTCAGCATCACAGCATGCTTTCCAAATCACCAGGACCGTAAGAATCTGTTTGAAGCTGATTTAATTTGCTTAAATTACCTCTCTTGTTGAATGCCTGCAGCCATGAACTCTTGCCTTAGTGAAGAAGCTTTGTTATTATGTTGGATTGTGTTGACACCAGAAACTATTAGTCCTTCCTTTGAAATGATTTCTTTTATGTCCAGAAAATGCTTGGACTGAAGAAGTGGACTGTGGTTTTCCAGTGCTTATGGGTAATAAATCTGCAAATAGAAAAAGAGGAGAAGGCGTTATTAACAAACTTAAGCCAGCAGGGTAGGCCAACTGGTGCTTTCCCCAAATAAGTTCCTCATGAATTAATTGTTTAAGGTAGAATAAAACAGGTTTAATTATGAATACTTTTCTGAGTAGGGATGTTGCAATTAGTTATTTTTGAAAGATGTCTTTATGGGGCAATTTAAATACTATGTATATCTTATTCCTGACTGCTATTCAAAGTGTTAGTTTGCTGTTCTCCCAGTCAGTTCTTACTGTGTGGTTTGAAGAGTGAACAGCATAGTTTTACTTAGGTATATATCAAACACATAGAAAAAAAAGGTCTTTTGTAGTAATTTTTATAAAGACAGTTTCCTGTTGCAAATCTAAGATACGCAGGTAATTTTGTTATATCTAACAAATAACAGACAAGAAAATATTATTTAATGATTACTAGTGAAAATGTTGAAATTGATAGTGGCAGTTTCTGTAAGAGCCCAGCAGGTTTTCAGCAAAAATTAAAAGTATTCACAACTTCACAGTATCTTCTTGTTCCTTACTGAAAGATGTCTGTTGCTCCAAAGACTGTTAAAAATAAGTCCAAAACCTAAATCCTTAACAATACTGGACACATTGCATGTGTATCCACATGTGTACCACTGTGGATATGCATATGTACCCACATTTCACAAGTTTGGGGTTTTTTTAGGTGATAAAGACCAAACAGTATGTCTGTGATTTTCTCCTTTAAAATAGAAAAATATTGAAGAGTCACTGCCATGAATCACCGTTTGGAACTTTGTTGTCATTTATTGCTCTATATCGTCTTCTTCATTTCCCAGCACTAATTGGCCTTTGCTTCTGTCTCTGTCTCTGTTTCTGCACGCTTGTGCTGCTCTGCACTCTGGTTTTCCAGCTCTCTGGTTGGGACTTGTCACTTCTCTGAAGGTCTCTGCTGCTCAGTAGTTGCCTCCTCAGTCTGTCAGGACTCTGTCCCCTCCTCTCAGTTTAACTTTATTCTTCTCCTGCAGTCCCTACAGCTCTCAGGTTTCTGTATGGTTTTCCATTTCTCATTCCAGACAGCTATTATATTTTGTGGGTTTTTTTTTAGTTTAGTTTCTTTTTTTTTTTCATTTTTGCTCCTGCAAAATAGCTTAATTTTCTACTTTACTAATGAACTATGGACTTCCTTTTATAACTCTGTGAAGAAATATCTACGCGTGGTGATTTCTCCATAGAGAAAGTGGAGGCTATAAATATGGAAATATCCCTTTTGGCTTTACAAAGTTTAATTACTTTGTATATTATGCAGATTCTGAGGCTGAAAAATCTGATGAGAGGAAGTAACGCGTTTGTCTATTCACTATCTTAAAAATGCAGGCAGATTGCTGAGAAGTATGCCAGTTTTTTGAGTTTGCAGGTTTACGTCTTGTTGCTGTTATTACAGGGTGTGTAGGGTGCTTGCACGGCTGAGGTTTGTCACTGAATGCAAACATCATGTTTCTAAACTGTGCATTTCTCAAAACCTGTGAGAAGCAGTTGGAGCAGCTGCTGGTGCCATCCTGAGATCACAGGAATCAGAGCTGGAAGGGACCTCAGGAGATGAACCAGTAAATCGCTACCCTAAAGCAGGATCAGCTAGTTCTGAACATTTCCCAACAGTCACAGAATTTTTAGCTTGAGGCAATAAATCAAGAAGGTCTCATGCTGTGTTTGATACTTTAAATGATTTTTCTTTTATTGGTGAAAGTATAAAACAGAGGTGTAATCCAGGATATTTTGGTGTGACGCCTGAAAATCGTTTGGTTGGTTGTTTTGGTTTTTTTTTTTTTTTAAATGTATGTGCTTATGGTGTCTGCGAAAGGTCTGGGCCCTGAAATCAGTCGTTCCTGGCAATATTAGGGGTGTAAGGTAGGCACTGAAATGCCTCACAAAGTTAGGAATCAGTATAATGCTTCAAGCACTTTCTCTGCTCTGTTGGTTTTTCTAGTGACATTAGAAGAAGGACTAACCCCTGAACACCCTGTCAGAAGTGCAGGCTGCTATGTTTTAGCTATCTTTGAGAGAGAGAGAGATTTAGATATTAATAACTAAGAGTCTTCCAGTGTCCTAGTTTCAAGGATCACCATATTCAGAGAGATGGTGTGCTTTGATCTGGCCACTTGCCTTGAAGTTTTTCTTCACTAGAGGCAAATGAGAGAAAAAAGAAAGCAAAAGTATTGATTTGCAAAATTCTAATTAGACAACACAGATACAGAATTTCATGAAGGAAGATGGAAAAAAAGGAAATTCAAATTGTTCACGTATTCCTTAGAATAGTTCAAAATATGTCTTAATTTTAAGATCCATCTTACAGACTGTTAAAATATTCAGAATCCTGTGGCTGAGTAGCCATTTCTGCATGGATCTAACCCACTTTTTTGTACAATCGGAATCTCTCCAGGAGTAACTTGTACCCATTACCCTTCCTCTTTTCCATGTAACTCTTTGTAAAAAGGGGGTCTCCATCATCTATGTAGCCGCTCTTTAAATACTGGAACATGGTTATAAGGTCTCTTCTAAGCCTTCTTTTCTCAAGGCTGAACAAGCCTGGTTCTCTCTGCCTTTCTTCATATAGCAGCTGCCCAGCCCTTTGATCACCTTTGTTACCCATCTCTGGTTCCTCTCCAGCCTGTCCACGTCTTTTTTATAGTGGGAACAAAGCTGAACTCAGTGTTCCAGGTGTGACTTGACAAGAGCTGACTAGTGGGACAATGACAAATCTATACTAGAGATGCCCTTGTTGATACCAACCAGCATCCAGTTGGCTTTCTTTGCTGCAGCTCCATACTGTTATCTCATGTTGAGCTTGTTGTCCATGAGGACCCCCAGATCCCTTTCCACAGAGCTGCTGCCCAGCCAGGTAGATCACAGTGTGTGCTTCACTCCTGGATTATATTTTCCCATGTGCAAGACCTTGCACTTGTCCTTGTTGCACTTCGTAAGACTCTTGTTAGCCCACTCTTCCAGCCTATCCAGGTCTTCCTGCAGGGTGGCTCTCCCTTCTGAAGTGTCCACTTCCCCACTCAGTTTGGTATCATTGGCAAACTAGGTCAGGACATGCTTGATCCCATCTTCCAGATCACTTACAAAGATAATAAACAGCATTGGACCCAATATCAATCCCTGAGGGACCTTACTTATGGCAGGTTACGAGTTTGAAAGGACCAATTTAGCACCATTCTCTGGGTGCTGCCTGCCAGCCAGGGCCTCGCCCATATTGGCCTAGACCACAACAACATAAATTTCTCTAGAAGGAGACAGTGGGAAACTGTATTGAAATCCTTGGAGAAATGCAGGTAGTCAATGTCCACTGCTCACCCCACATCAACTGAGCAGGTTACTTTGTTGTCGAGCACGATTTGCCTTTGGTGAATTCATGCTGGCTTTTCCAGTCACGTTTTTCATTTTGACTTCACGCCGCCTTGGGAGATGCCACTTCCTATAATGATGCAGAGGCATTTGATAGGGCTCCCACAAACATGGAGCATGACTCCTCCTTCTCTTCTTCCCCACCTCTCTTTATCAAACAGCCTATAGCCACCCATTGTGATCCTTCAGTCGTGTGATTTGTCTCACTGTGTTTCAGTTATTCCCATTATATCATAACTTTCTGTCTGTGCACAGAGCTCCGGTTCCTCCTGGTTGTTCCCAGGCTGTGTGCATTGGTAAACATACACTTGAGGTGGCTGGTGTTCTGGTTCTCATCTTGGGAGGCAGCTAAGGGACATTTGTTGCTGCTCTGGTTGGCCTGGCTTATTCTCCAGCTGATTGCAATGGTGTGTGTAGCATTGCCACTTTGGACTCCTTAATTCCTCTGAGTTCTTCAGTTTAAAGCCCAGCTCACCAAGTTGGCCAGTTTGCTGCCAAAGATTCTTTTGCCTCTTCTAGGGAATCAAAAAGAGTTCATAATATAAAAGGGACCTTGTGTAGACCCAGCTCCACAACTTTGTGTTGTTTAGAGCTCTTTCTGGATCTAACTGTTATTCCTTGGGAATTTACAGAACCTTATTTACATATAAATATAATATATAAATTGTACAAACGGATGCTTTTTTAAAATCTCATTTAATTTTCCTGTATGTTGACTCTTTATATACATTGACCAAGCTATTTAATACACTAGTGCTTCAACATTTTAAATTGCGTTACTTTTTAATATTTAAAAATAATATATGATTTAATGGAGATAGTTATTAATACAAAGACGGAAAACATAGGTTATAATGTTCTAATCTGTCAAAAAATAACAAAGTCTTTTATCCACTAGGTGTTAAGAGTGTACAAAGCTGCAGTGCAACAGACTTTGGATATACTCTTTCTCCCTGAAGGAAGAGAGTTTCTTACAAGCACAGATGCAGTAAGCCGGGACTCAGCTGATCGTACCATCATTGCATGGGATTTCCAAAGCTCTGCAAAAATCTCCAACCAGATTTTTCATGTAAGATTAACAACTAGTATTGTTTAGGTCACGTTTTAGTATTTCATGCTTGTCAGTGTAGTAAAAAAACCCTTTTGATTTTCAATAAGATCATCGTATGATGTATAAGATGCTCTTCATGTAAGTTGATGACTTGCTTTATTTTCACATGTAGCACTTAATTGTTCTTAAAAAATGACCTTGAAGACTGAGAGATCTCCTCGTGTTTAAAATATTTGCATTTCAGTGTTAATTCACTGACATCTGAGCTATATTTAGGCAAGGACTCTGCAGTGTCATTCTAGTTTGCCAGCGGTGCATGGCAGGAGTTGCTATAGTGCCACATTTCTTTTCCCACACTTTTTCATACATTTTTCATCAGCTGCACTGAGGGCTACTGAGAAGTTGAGTTTAATATTCACATAGTAATAGCAACCTGATACATGCATACAGATACCTAGTACAGCATAAACACAGAGGCAAAATTTGTGTTTATCAGTGCAGGTGCAGTGTTTCTCTCAGTCATCTATCCAAGCAAGACATTTAATGGACTAAATTATCTAGAAAGACTAATGGCTTCAAAGGAGATTACCAAAGAAGTTAATAGATAATTTCAACTCCCTGGGTCTTTTTTGAAAACCCAGGTCTAATATCCTATGTAATATAATATGACTGGGTTGTATATAGATGCTTTTCGGCTAAAATGAAAAGTTCTCCGCTGACAAAGACATATAGTTGATGATTTAATGGGATTGTTTCATGTTTAATTTCCATAGTTATGTCTTTGGATCTATCAACATCTTTAATAGACAATAGGAAGGAAAAAAAATCCAACTGTGAATATATAAATTACAGACCAGACAGGTTCAGCATCAAGGAGCAACAAATAAATAAACAATCTGCCCCCGCCCCTTCTCATGATTACAGCATCTCTGAAATGGACTTCTCACCTACACTCCCTTTTCTGCACTGTGAATAAACAAAACTTGGTAATGATTTTGCACACTCTGCTTCACTTTTCTGAATTTCACCTTTGAAACCTTCTCCCACCTTCGAGGTGGGAAAAAACCCCTCATCTCTCCAAACAGAGTAGATCCCAACTTGATCTATTGCTTGTGTGCATTAACAAATGAATAGTTAAGAGCTCTAAGATAATCCATTACTACAGCATCCCCAGCATAACAGCACAGTGCTCCTGCAGATTGCATTGTGCTTTCTGATCCCATACTGTTAGACCCAGTTTCTTCCTGGTAACGCATGCAGTGCATTGTGCCCAATACCTTATAGTACCCAGAATTTCCTTCCCAGTCCTTCACTTCCAAATCACACTACAAAACCAGTCTGATGTTCTTCCTGCTCTACCATATAGCCCATGGTGTCCTGGTGTTGTTCACATGCGGATACATCCCGCTTAATTTGTATTCATGGTATCAAAATTCAGCACTGTATCTTTAGGTTAGGCTGAAACTAGAAGAGGTTTGGATTTAGTGGAAGCCTTGTGAGAGCAGTTGATTTCTGATGGAGTCCCCATGCAGAGTTCTGGAAGTAATCTTAATTCAGTCTTAAATAGGAACTCTAGAGTAAAACCAAGTCTTATTAATTACTGCAGATATTTATGGATTTACAGCCAGCAGCAGCCTACATCACTGTCATAAGGAGGCTAATAATGATCCTTTTTGTTCTTTTTTTTTTTTTTTATAAGAGTGAGGTGAAGAAATGTGTCTCTTTCAATGAGATAGTTTCTGTTCCTGTCAGTGTGGCCAGAACTGAGAGGATGGAGGATTTGAGAACTGTACAAAGTAGCATGGAAAGCACAGTATGACTGTGGAGGAAGGGATATGGGAGAAGAGGATTCACTTTCATGTTCAAACTTTGGTTTTCCTTGGCAGGAAGAGGATGATTGAGAACCATCTGGTTGGAATTATCTTTCTTCAATTGTTCTGCAGTATAATTATGGTTTAGAGAGATATGGGATTTTGGTCAATATCTAGGAAATTGAGGTAGAGATTTGATTTAGCGTTTGTCTTGATGTAAGACTTTCAGTGGTTTGTAATGAGTTAAGTAACTTTACATAATGTATGCCATGGAAAGGACTTATGTATACTTTGCCTTTTATGGGTTTTCAAATATATCAAAAGATAACTTGAATCATTTGAGCAAATCTTTTGTTTCATACAACAAAACTTTCTTTAAAATTATTTTCAGGAGCGTTACACTTGCCCAAGTCTCTCTCTCCACCCAAAAGAGTCTGTGTTTGTTGCTCAGACAAACGGAAACTACATGGCTTTGTTTTCTGCACAGCGACCATACCGGATCAACAAAAAGAAAAGATATGAAGGACATAAGGTATCCTTTTTCACCAGGAACTCAGTATCCAAGTTTAAAAGAAAGATAGATAGCAAAGCACCTCTGCTTCTTAATATATCTTCTAATAGTGTTTTATTATAAATCAGTGATAGATATTAATTGGCTTAATTTGCTTTCCTGTGTGCCAGTGTACTTTGAATCATATGCACTCTGAAAAAAATTGTTATTACAAGACTTTATGAATGCTTAATAGCTTGATTAAATAAGTTTGTAGTATAGCTGAGTCTTAATAAACACCTGGAGAAGTCTTTAGTGTATATTTATTTAAAGATACATTTTTTTTTATACTATATTAATTTTCAGTATACCACAATGAACTTTTCTAATCAGCATCAAGAGTTACACTGTTATTGATTTTCACAGGTGGAAGGATTTGCAGTGGGCTGTGAATTTTCTCCAGATGGAACACTTTTGGTGACAGGAAGTTCAGATGGCAAAGTGTTTTTCTACAACTATCATACTTCTAGGATTATTCGCACTTTGTCTGCACATAAAGAAGCTTGTGTGAGTGCAATATTTCACCCAGTCTTGCCATCACTCCTTGCAACCTGTGATTGGGCTGGAGAAATCAAGATCTGGCAATAACAAGGAGGGTTAATTTTCAGGATGTCTTCTGTTAGTCTGTCAAAGGTTTAGGGAATAAACCAGGTTATGCAATGTGAATTTTTGTTGTGATGTACTGTAAGCAGGAGAGAGAGTCTTTTCTTCTATGACCTCTAAGTGTATGCTTTCATAATGCAGTGAAGATGGTCTTGTGGTTAACTGCTGAGCAAAGAAGTGGTCCTACTCTCTCCCTCAGCCCTGGTGACAAATTTCTGACCCTTTTGCATCAATCTTCTGGTGCTCGTCTAATCCAACCCTGGTTTGAGCACCTAAACTTAAGAAAATTGTTGCTCTTATTATGTTATCTTTTCAATGCAGTTTTCTTAAACCAGGTTTTGTCATAGAATCATAGAATCATTTACATTGGGAAAGACCTTTAAGATCATCAAGTCCAAATCTTATACTCCGGGATGCAAGGAGGGCCATCGATAAAACCTCTATGCTGGACTTCCGGAGGGCAGATTTTAGCCTATTCAGAAGATTGGTTCAGAGTGTACCCTGGGAAACAACCCTTGAAAACAAAGGGGTCCAGGAGGGATGAGCATGCTTCAAAAGTCTTGAATGCACAGGAGCGGGCTGTCCCAACAAGCTGGTGGGGAGATTCTGAAGGAAATTAGGGTGAAAAAGAGAGCTTACCGATTATGGAAAAGAAGGCTGGCTACTCAGAAAGAGTTTAGGAATGTAATTAAGTCTTGTAGAAAGAAAATTAGAGAGACAAAGGCACAACTTGAACTTAATCTTGCCACTTCTGTTAAGGATAACAAAAAGTCTTTCTACAGATACATCAGTAGCAAAAGGAGGGACAAGGAAAACCTCCATTCTTTATTGGACATGGGCAGGAACATAGTTATCAAAGATGAGGAAAAGGCTGAGGTATTTAACACTTTCTTTACCTCAGTTTTCAACAGTAAGACAGGTTGTCCTCAGGACAACTGGCCTCCAGAGCTGGTAGGCCCCCTGTAATCCAGGAGGAAACAGTTAGCAACCTGCTGAGCCACTTGGATTCTCACAAGTCTATGAGACCAGATGGGATCCACCCAAGAGTGATGAGGGAGCTGGTAGAAGAGCTTGCCAAGCCATTCTCCATCATTTACCAACAGTCCTGGCTCACTGGGGAGGTCCCAGATGTTTGGAAGTTGGCAAATGTCATGCCGATCCACAAAAAGGGCCGGAAGGAGGACCTGGGAAACTACAGGCCCATCAGCCTCACCTCAGTGCCTGGCAAGGTTATGGAGCAGATCATCCTCAGTGCAATCACAGAGCACCTACAGCCAGCCCAGTGTTTAGGAAGGGCAGGTCCTGTCTGACCAACCTGATCTCCTTTTATGATCAGGTGACCCACCTGGTGGGTGAGGGGAAGGCTGTGGATGTGGTCTATCTGGACTTCAGCAAAGCCTTGGACACCATCTCCCATAGCATTCTCCTGGAAAAACTGGCAGCCTGTGACTTGGACAGGGGCACTCTGTGCTGGGTTAGAACTGGCTGGAGGGCCAGGCCCAGAGTGGTGGTGAACAGGGCTGCATCCAGTTGGTGGCCGATCACTAGTGGTGTTCCCCAGGGATCAGTGTTTGGCCCAGTCCTGTTTAACATCTTTATTGATGATCTGGATGAGGGGATTGAGTCCATCATCAGCAAATTTGCAGACGACACTAAGTTGGGGGGGAGTGTCGATCAGCTGGAAGGCAGGAGAGCTCTGCAGAGGGACCTGGACAGACTGGAGGGTTGGGCTGATTCCAATGGGATGAGGTTCAAGAAGGCCAACTGCTGGGTCCTCTGCTTTGGCCACAACAACCCCATGCAGAGCTACAGGCTGGGCACAGAGTGGCTGGAGAGCAGCGAGGCAGAAAGGGACCTGGGAGTTTGGATTGACAGGAAGCTGAACATGAGCCAGCGGTGTGCCCACATGGCCAAGAAGGCCAATGGCATCCTGGCCTGGATCAGGAACAATGTGACCAACAGGTCCAGGGAAGTGATTCTTCCCTTGTACTCAGTGCTGGTGAAGCCACACCTGGAGTACTGTGTCCAGTTCTGGGCCCCTCAGTTCAGGAAGGATGTTGAGGTGCTGGAGCAGGTCCAGAGAAGAGCAACAAGGCTGGTGAAGGGACTGGAGCACAAGTCTTATGAGGAGAGGCTGAGGGAGCTGGGGTTGTTCAGCCTGGAGAAAAGTAGGCTCAGGGGAGACCTCATCACTCTCTACAACTACCTGACAGGAGGTTATAGCCAGGTGGGGGTTGGTCACTTCTCCCAGGCAGCTCTCAGTAGGACAAGAGGGCATGGTCTTAAGCTCTGCCAGGGGAAGTTTAGGTTGGACATTAGGAAGAAATTCTTTACAGAGAGGGTAATCAGGCATTGGAATGGGCTGCCCAGGGAAGTGGTGGATTCTCCATCCCTGGAGGTTTTTAAGATGAGACTGGATGTGGCACTTAGTGCCATGGTCTAGTAACCACGGCAGTGTTGGATCAAGGGTTGGACTTGATGATCTTGGAGGTCCTTTCCAACCCGGCTGATTCTATGATTCTATGATTAACCCAGCACACAAGTCCACCACTAAATCACATTTCAAAGTGTCACATCTACAAATCTTTTAAATGTCTCGAGGGATGGTGACTCAACCACTTCCCTGGGCAGCCTGTTCAATCTAACAACTCTTTTGCCGAAGAAATTTTTTCTGCTATCCAATCTAAACCTCCCCTTTCACAGCTTGAGGCTGTTTCCTCTTGTCCTCATCAAAATTTGAAGACATACTATTTAACAGAGGATGATATTCAGATCAATTAATGCCTATTTCATCTTCCTGGGATTTTTTTTTCCCACTACATTAAACTAGTTTAGCTCCCTGACCTGATCACTGAAGGGTTAGAGTAGCAATGCACAAGAAGGGGGAAGATCACAGGGCCGGTGGGACCGCTTCTTCTGGGTATGGGTAGTCTCTTATCAGCTCAACTTGCTGTAAAATACCTTCTGAGGGGTTTAGGAAAAGGTGTGGCAGATGACTTGAACCAAATATTGAAGTAAATACATTTGTGTTTTTGAAATCCTGATGTTTAAACTTCAATGTACGACTGTATATAAACAAAATGAAACTATGTACAAATATTTTTGAGGAACAATAAACTTTGTTTTAATACATTATGTATGTATTCATTAGTTTACGCTATTATTCTTGACAAGTTAGTACACAAAACTATAGTGGAATTGATGCTTGGGTGGAAAACAATTAACATTACATTAATTTATTGCAAACACATATGCATATCTCCATACTTATTGATGTCACTTAGACACAGAAAATTGTCATCATACTATTGATGGTTTTTTGACATTCAGACGGGAGCTTGGCAATTCTGCAGCAAATAGAAAGTTCATTAGGCCATCATTGTGTATTTACATTGTAAATACAAAATGTTTGTATGTTTGTAAGTTTGTGTTCCCTGCACTGGTGTTGCTTGGTTCTAGAAAACATTTTATATGTGTGTGTGTTTGTCTATAAAAAAAAAAGTCTATACTTCACATAAAACACATATTCTTGACCTTGACTCCCTATAAACATGTTCACCTTGTAGTGAGTGCTGTAAGCATGGCTTATGTTTGGTCTGGTTAGTCTATAAAAGCATTTTAACATATACAGGATAACTGGGTTGAGTAAATTGTCTCTGTCATGAAATCCAGAAGCTATATATAGTAGCAACTTTTCCATCCTTTTATTCTTCTTTTTGCCACAAATGAAGGGGGTTTATATCTGTTTTTCACATGCTCAGTTAAAAAAGCTTTATTGGAGAAAAAGTTTCTGAATGCTCTTGTAAATGGCAGATTTTAATTAATTAATGAGCAAAATGTGATCCACTGGTTTGTGGTTCCTTATTGCTTGTAGTAAGAAGTAAGCCTATAGCAAGACTGAATCCAGCTGTATTGTTTGCAGTCTGGATCAAGATATTGTGGTTGCATGGTTTCAATCATCTTATCAACAGTTGTGATGGGTCTTAACACAGGGCATTAAATTTAAGTGAACCATGCAATGTAGCAAATGCAATTTTTTTTCCCCCTAGACGGTCCTTAATTTCTTGCTTCCTTGTTCAGCAATTAGGTGTTTGACAGGAGCCTGAATTCTGCACTTCTCTTGACTCTGCCTCTAGTATACAAGTCAGCTGTACCTTTAAATGAAAACTGGTTAAGTGATTTTGAGTTATTCCTAATTCAGGTTGTGGGATCTTCATAAATGTCAGAAGGAGATGAGCTGGAAGTGAAGTAGTTGTTGGCACAACACTGGGCAGGTGGAATCCCAACTGCACGGGACTGAGTCTGTGTCCTTCCCTACAAGTGTTTTAGTTCAAAATGTGCTATTGTCATTTTAAAACTTCTGGCAGCCAGGTCTGTCTATATGAAGGTCTGTCTATATGAAGGATGGGCAGCACTGTAGTTGTTCCTGTTGCATCTTAGTGTCTCCATAGGAGATTATCTGTCTGTTATTTTATTAAATACAAAGCTTAGAAAGGCCTCTGAAATAAATGTGAATTCATGGTAGAAATGCCTTATTGGATGAAGCCTGAGCTTATGTGAACTCTGCTCCATATTGAAGGAGCTCTCAGCACCTGCAGCCTCAGCTGAGAGCATGTCTGTGTAAAGTCTTGAAAGAATAGTACTGGGTAATCATTGCATATATTGCTTAGAAAAGTAACTGCATTTTATAAGATTACCCTTGTTGTTGCTTAAGTTCAGCTTGTGTGCTGAGGCATGATTCTGGTGTCTAGCATTTATCCCTCCTGAAATTATCTTGAAAGTATAAATTTTAGACTGTTTGGTGGTAGAGAGGGAGGGAAAAGCTTAAATTTGATTAAAGGCAGTAGAGAAAAGTAAAAGAAACTTGAAACTTTATCATCTTAAAGAATATTAAAATAAGAATTGCATTTGTGTCAGATTTCCAAGATGGCTGGAGTTTAATTACTTATGAGTTCCAGCCAAAGGTTTTATAATGCAATGAAATTATTTTCACAGCATTATCGTGTTAAAATCTCTTTCTAATATAAAACTGATTAAGACACAGACTGAAATTTAGTAATTGGAAATATTTTAGAATAGTAGTGTCAATTAAGTTTTCGTTATGATTCAAAGACAAATTCTTCCTTGTTATCTTATGTAATGAACTGTAATCAAAAAATATCCACATTACTCCATCATTCTGCAATTACCAAATACTGTTTGGGCTGCAAACAAGGATTATTATGGTCAGATGAAGCTTTTAGAATGTAATGAATTGTTGGTTAATTAATTTTATTCATAAAATTGTAATCTAGAAATTTTTGAATCTTGCTTTAGGAGCAGTTCTTTTAGCTTTATTTAGAGCTCTCTAGGGGGATCATCTGTTAGAGCCAAGGCAGAGATCTCCAGCATTTTGAAATAGTCTAGACTGTGTAGATAAACAAGCCAGATTAATTTTAATTTATTTTGTACTGTACCAAAAAGTAATAATGCCAATCTCTACCACTTTATTATTTGCTACTGGAGCGTTATTAATTTGGAGTGTCAGAGGATGCAACCTATTCAACTGTCTTTATCTCAAAAACCTTCTAATTAGGAGACAGCTATTAGAATCGTTGTGTTCACTCAGCTGAAATACTGTTGGTGAGTCACTCTATATTTCAGCTATAGGCCTCATCATGAAAATAAGGCGTGGCATTACAATGGGATGACTCTTCCCATAGGGGACAGGCAAATATAAAGCTACAAGACTGTGGCAAAACAGAACAAAACAGGAAGATAACAAATTTGGGGATCTGAT